GGTCTGGCATTACTTCAACTGGATAAATCAACATTATGGCCAATTACTTTTCTGAGGGACACGGGGACACTCCATTCGTTACTTTGGAGGGCGTCCTCTAGTTTGGGTAGTGGTTTCAATAGAGGGTATTGGAGGAGTTACTGGTGTGTTAGATGTTTGTGTCAATTACTACTTACGGGATAAAATAAAAGCTTAGAAGCAAGGTTTTACCACCGTAGTTTATCAGTACTAAGAATAAGTTTTCCATTCAGAAAACAACGCGATCTTAGCGCTAAGGTGTTCGCAACTCCCATACCTTAACATAGACTTACCACAGTCGTAGCGCTAAGGTTGTTTTGAACAACGGCACCCAGGTCTCTTATTACCGCTGGGCCTCATGTTCTGTTGGAAGCTTGTTCAAAGGATAAGGGTCATTGCGCTTCTTATAGGGAATACGTTACTTTAGTCAACATTATTAAGACCCGAGACTGTCCTCCTTCAGTTTTGTCCTCTGTATCATGGGGGGCACGGGTGGCCCAGTCGTCTAAGGCGCCGCGATTCGCTGTGCAGAGTTGCGTCCCTTGGACACGCCAGAAACCTATGATTGTGGGTTCGAATCCCGGTTCGCCCCAATTATGTTTCTAGGTTTGTCAGCACCATAACCGTGCTCGTGGGTTTCACCGAAGTGGTAAACGTCTGAGACCTGCATCACTTCGGGCTTTCCTCCCACATTAAGCTGACACGCCGTGATATAACTGGAATACTGTTAAAAGTGGCGTAAAACCCAACTCACTCACTCACTCTGTATCATGTGACATTTACCTCACAGGTAACGAGAAACGTTTCCTAAAAACATGAAACGCGGTGTGATTCACAGAATGCAATTACCTTCGGCTTGAAATGTTTGGAAATGCGAACACCGCCGCCAACGCTCCATGGTTGTTTTTCGTCTGCGTTTTCCTAAGTGTCGTCTGCTTCATTTGAGAAGAAGACGCGGAGTGTAGCGGATGATGCGATCATGTCTCAGATTGTAACAGTTTCAATTTTACTATTAACCTGTTTTGGCTTTGTCTTGCTAGCATTGGCAGTGACAAATGTATGCAAAGCTTTCTCAACGACGACCTTAACCCTGAGCGTTTCCAAGGTTACTGGTACGCCAGGTACTCTTACCTCCCGTACCGTCCAGGGTTCCGAGCCATGGATACTCAGTCCATATATGTGTACATGCCAGGATCCAGGCAGTGGAACATAGCAGTTGCCTCTTACTCATTTATAAGAGACTTCCCTTTGAACTGTATAATAATTTGCTCAAACACCCCAGCCCCCTCAATTATTAATGAGCAGCTCATCAAAAATGTTCAAATTTAAATATATATTACTTGTTAAAAAAAACCGTCGTATTTTCCACGTGCCACACACACCCCTCTTTCGCTGTAATTGTTTCATGACCCCACGAATCTCACCTTATCCCCAATGGTTTGGTTTGGTTTGTTTTACGCCGCACTCTGCAATATTCCAGCTATATGACGGCTGTCTGTAAATAATAGTCTGGACAAGACAATCCAGTGATAAATATCATGAGCATCTATCCACGTACTTGGATCGACGACATGCATCAACCAAGTCAGCGAGCATGACCACCCCGTTAGTCGCCTATTGGGTTGCTGAAGACCTATCCTACCCCGGATGTTAACGTGCATTATCCCCAATAAAATGACTACATTTAGAAGGTAAACCTACTGTGTTTTGAAATTTGATGTAGTCCCACTGTAGAATATATACCTCTTTGTTTTAATTTGGAACCAAGCGCTTTAGATTCGATCTGATTTTCACCAAATCCCCCTCCGAAAAAGGCTCATAGTGAGTATCTTTTTCGAAGCATCCCTTTTGAACCAAGCGCTTTAGATTCGATCTGATTTTCACCAAATCCCCCTCCGAAAAAGGCTCATAGTGAGTATCTTTTTCGAAGCATCCCTATCAAGTCGTTGTTGGCAGTGGCAAACTGTTGGTTGGTTTGTTGTTTTACGCCGCACTCAGCTATATGACGGCGGTCTGTAAATAATCGAGTCTGGACCAGACAATCCAGTGATTAATATCATGAGCATCGATCCACGCAATTTGGATCGATGACATGCATCAACCAAGTCAGCGAGCCTGACCACCCGATCCCGTTAGTCGCTTTTTACGACAAGCAGTGTCACCTTTTACGGCAAGCATGGTGCTGCTGAAGACCTATTCTTCCCCGGAATCTTCACGGGTCACAAACTGTTGGTCGTGCAGCATGTTAAATGAAGGCTCATACGGTGATTGGCGGAGAGGGCGATGAATCGCAGATCTAATGCCGACATAGGAGGACTTCGAATAATACTGTCCATTGGAATTTCGAACCTTGGTGTAGAAAACTTTCAATATGTTGTTTAATTCTTGAGGTGAAAGGGTCTGAAAACTTGTCTCGCAAAGCAAGCCATTCTGGAAACAGAAATTAATATTCTGTTACCGGAGGACTTGTAAAGAAGGTAAGTGACACTTCCAATAGTTACAGACCTGTGAAGATTCCGGGGTAGAATCTGTCTTCAGCAACCCATGCTTGTCGTAAAAGGCGACTAACGGGATCAGGTTGTCAGGCTCGCTGACTTGGTTGATGCATGTCATCGATCCCAATTGCGTAGATCGATGCTCATGATATTAATCAGTGGATTGTCTGGTACAGACTCGATTATTTACAGACCGCCGTCATATAGCTAAATGCGGCGTTAAACAAAAAAAACATGATATTAATCACTGGATTGTCTAGTCCAACCAAATCCAATAGTTACATTATCAATTTATTTGTATTTCTGTGATTGTAAATGATACAAAATATTGTGCATTTCATATTGCAGGCAAGACCAACTCAATATTCAATGTCAACAGCTCATTTTTTTAAAGTAATAGATCTAAATATAATTATTTAATATATTTCTTCCTTACGTTTGAATTTCTTAATCGCCCAACTAGTGTTTTTTTATTGGTGCTTTGTGCCTTCGAGTTAATTTAATGGACTCGATCTCATCAGCATCGAGGGCTCTTCAGCAACCCATACTTGCCGTAAAAGGCGACTATGCTTGTCGTAAAAGGCGACTAACGGGATCGGGTCGTCAGGCTCGCTGACTTGGTTGATACATGTCATCGATCCCAATTGCGTGGATCGATGCTCATGATGTCATTTACTGGATTGTCTGGTCCTGACTCGATTATTTTACAGACCGCCGTCATATAGCTGGAATATTGCTTAGTGCGGCGTTAAACAACAAACCATCCAACCAACGCTCGTCAATGGAGCCCCTGTCGAACAGTAAATACATTGTTTGTAAAGTTTACATATTCCGAAAATTTGTAACAATATTTTATCATGCATGAAGTTTTTCTATCTATTTTTTTTTATTAACGTAATTTATTGATATTTTTTGTTCCTATAAACTTTACAATTTGTATGCAAACGATATAGAGCGGGTGGTGCAGTACTCGACACCCAGCAAATTAACACATGTACACTATAAACAAACGTACTGATGCGCATAATTTTCACGCAGGCTTCTTCCTCTTCCTCCCTGACGTCAGAAAAGATTCGTCTGCTACTGGTAACACTCACGATAAAAGCTCGTGTACATGTTTTCCCACGTGACCATGCCGCCCACGCATTTTGGCAAAGCACTGCAGTTTCTGATCATAAGGTTATAGCTTCCGCACGACTAGTTTCTGGTCTGTTTTTGGCGACTTCTTGTGAATCGACCATGCCAACATGGAAACGTTTGGCGCGAAAATTCTAAAAATAACCTAATTAAGCTGTGTCCGACTACTACCTCGGAGAAATTACGTGGGAATGCAGTACTCGGACAGTCGACAAATAAAATTTGGAATTACATATTAGAAATTTTTTAAATAAAAAATAATTGAAAAAAGCTATTAAGAAAATGCAAAATGAAAAAAATAGGTGTTTTTCGATCGCGAGTGACATACTTTAAGAGGGTTCTGATTGGGGGATGGGTTGGTGTCGTGCACGTGACTTTGTCTTTGGGGGTGTTATTCAGGGGGTTAATACGTACAGTATGTCAGTTGCATGTTTTTAGTGTAAATATCAAGTAACTGTCAATCTCATAAAAAGACGTTATCTCAGTGTCGTTTATCAATCATATTTTACTTTTGCGATGAAACTGAACGTTTTTTACGTGTCACCCATCAGGACCCTCATTCATTCTAATCTGATTACAGAAGGTATTACGTATCAGTAACATTCCCGTTATTCTTCAGTATATGGATATGATAGTTCCACTGACCAGTTACCGCCTCCGTGGTCTTGTGGTAGAGCGTCCGCCCGGAGAGCGGAAGGTCCAGGGTTCGAAAAGACGTTAAAAGATTGTACTTGTTGTTACCCTGTCTGGCGCTCGGCATTAATGGGCTATAACAAGGACTGGTCGGCTCGGAGTCAGTATACTGTGTCTGAGTGGGGTATTCATGTTAAACTGCGGCATGGTATCTCAGTGAGCTAGCACTATAAATCGGCATCAGTCCGGACTAGTACAAGCAGCCACATACACACACACACGTGCATGCACGTCGCTATATAAGTGCAATAATCTTGGACGCGACGTTAAACCCAATTTCACCTCACCTCACCACTGACTAGTTCTAATTATATTGTAGGACCGCCTGTGTAGAATTGCTAAAATGAGCGTTCGAGCAGGAAAGCCTGCCTATTCATATGAAAACTTAAAGCGGGCTATGGATGCTGTTAACGCCAAGCAGATGTCTGCACGCAAAGCTGCCGTCGCTTTCGGTATACCCAAAAGTACTCTGCATGACAAACTCTCCAATAAAGTACCTCTTGTTTACCGCAAAGGTCCTTCACCCATTTTATCACAAGACGAGGAAAGACATCTTTCAGATTGGGCTATACACATGTCGAGTATAGGGTACGGCCGGACAAGGGACGAACTGTTAGACACGGTCCAGAAAATAATCAAATTAGATGGTAGGGAGAATCCTTTTACTGATGACAGACTGGTAGGGATTGGTTTAGGGCTTTCTTAAAACGAAACCCTACAATATAAGTAAGAACACCAACACAACTTTCAAAAGAACGTGCTATGGTATCACAACAAAAAATTGCTGATTGGTTTGATACCTTCACAACCTACATCGGTGACAAAACTGATTCAGACATCTTACATGACCCATCAAGGCTGTATACGGCTGATGAGTCGGGTTTCCCCATGAATCCAAAGAGTGGTAGGGTTCTGGCCGAACGAGGATCCCAGACAGTTTATAACTTCTCGGCCTCAGACAAGAGCCAGATAACAGTTCTTGCTTGTGCAAGTGCTTCAGGTGACTACACTCCCCCCATGATCGTCTTTCCCGGCAGCAGGTTCAAATACAACCCCCTAGATGGTTTTGAGGAGGCGGTTCTAGGGCGAACCGAGAATGGCTGGATGAACGCAGAACTATTTGTTTCTTTGCTTAAAACTTGTTTCATTCCTCATGTCGATAAACAGGCAATCAAGAAACCAATAATTCTGTTTCTAGACGGTCATTCAACGCACCTGACCCTTGAAGCGTGCACTGTTTGTGTGGAGAACAACATCGTCCTGTACTGCCTCCCATCACACGCATCACATGTTATACAGCCATTGGACCTGAGCTTGTTCAGTCCACTCAAACATGCATGGCGCCAATCTGTCCGAGATGTTCAGATTTCAAACATCGGGGAATGTGTTAGGAAATGTACCTTTGCCAGTGTATTCAAAACTGCTTGGATAAGGGCAGCTACAACAGAAAATGCAAAGAGGGGTTTCCTCGAATCGGGGCTGTTTCCGCTCAATCCTGATAAAGTTACCGATAATCAGAAATTAAAACCCAGCACTATCTTTGAACCATGCAAACCAGTCCTACAGTCAACCCCATCCACAGTCAGAACATTCACATTTGCACCCCCAGCAGACACCCCATCCCAACCTTCCGCTACACTAACATCACCAGAATATGCATCCTCACCAGTCGTGCAAACAACTCTGCCATCACCCCATACAGACCCTCATGCACCAGTACAATCACAAACTACACATAGCACAACACCCCAAACAGACACTTCACACCTAGCCTTACATTCTACACCAGCCACAGCCCACACATCTTCCAGTGACGCATTTGACAAATATTTAGTTTTCCCTAAAGTACGGAGCCGTACCCAAAAGTATAAACCTACAGTGTTGCCCAAATCTGCCTCAGGAGAAGACATCAGGGAACTTCTCCTTGAAAAGAAGAGAAAAGGATAAGGAAGAGAAACAGATGAAAGAAAGCAGAAAGCGAATGAGAGAGAGGAGAAGACATCAGGGAACTTCTCCTTGAAAAGAAGAGAAAGGATAAGGAAGAGAAACAGATGAAAGAAAGCAGAAAGCGAATGCGAGAGAGGAGAAGACATCAGGGAACTTCTCCTTGAAAAGGATAAGGAAGGGAAACAGATGAAAGAAAGCAGAAAGCGAATGAGAGAGAGGAGAAGACATCAGGGAACTTCTCCTTGAAAAGAAGAGAAAAGGATAAGGAAGGGAAACAGATGAAAGAAAGCAGAAAGCGAATGAGAGAGAGGAGAAGACATCAGGGAACTTCTCCTTGAAAAGAAGAGAAAGGATAAGGAAGAGAAACAGATGAAAGAAAGCAGAAAGCGAATGAGAGAGAGGAGAAGACATCAAGGAACTTCTCCTTGAAAAGAAGAGAAAGGATAAGGAAGAGAAACAGATGAAAGAAAGCAGAAAGCGAATGAGAGAGAGGAGAAGACATCAGGGAACTTCTCCTTGAAAAGAAGAGAAAGGATAAGGAAGAGAAACAGATGAATGTAAGCAGAAAGCGAATGAGAGAGAGGAGAAGACATCAGGGAACTTCTCCTTGAAAAGAAGAGAAACGACAAGGAAGAGAAACAGATGAAAGAAAGCAGAAAGCGAATGAGAGAGGAAATAAAGCTTAAACGAGAAGAAGAGAAAGCAGCCCAGAAACCCGAAGAGAAAAAGAACAGGAAGAAAAGCGTGTGCAAAAGAGAAAGCAAGAAGACGAGAAAAAGGCATACAAACTCTTAAAACAAATTAAAATAAAGCAGCACTAGACAGTGACGAAGATCTCTCTGAATCCGAGATTCCCTACATTGATGACGACGAATACGACGACGACACCGATTTTTCCGATGATACCCTCCGGGATTTTTGTCACCTTTGTTTGGGTCGGGATTTGGCGGCAAACGATGACTGGGTGGGATGTCTTAATTGTACCAAATGGTTCCACAAGAATTGCCTGGGATACCAGACATTAACACATCAACAACTCGCCGACCTTCCCTTCACGTGTGACACTTGTAGCTGAGAGGAAAAAAAACTCCGTTATTGTTGGCACAGTTTGCTTTTTTAAAATAAGTGAAATCAGTGTTCATTTCACATTAAAATGTACAAAAAACGAACACATCTTTCATATTTTAACAGAAAAATGGAATATCCCTTTGACGCCCTGTTCCACGAGATTCATGCATACTCTGGACCACCTGGGTGGGGTAATCTTCATAGGTACCATGTGTATCATGTGAGTGAGTGAGTGAGTTAATATTTAACGTCACATCGGCAGTATTTGTATCATGTGAAGCCGTTACCATTTATGGCACTGAAGATAAATCAGGAACCAGAAAACATCTATGACGCAAACGCTCTCAAAATTAGTATTCCCGATGAAGCTGTCATACATTTCCGTAGTTTAGATTTGAAAGTCCGTCCCCAACCCAATAGACAGGTTTTACGGGACATAGCTGGCCGTGTCGTCGGCAGAGTTCCCAGACTACTCACTCCTTTGATGACGGAATGTTGCGTTTTAAATGTGACACCGTTCTTTACTGGTAGAATTACTCACAGCGGGCCTGTTAGGGGTTGGGGGCCCAAAACTAGACTGTTTTTATTTATTGCGTATCAAGCCACAACGTCATACTTTATTCAAACTAATAGAAAGACTGAATGAAACAGGATTCGATGGTGACAGCGTTTGGGTTTAGTGACTGAGAAGAAAACTTATTTCAGTATAAAAAAACCACATGTATCTGTCTACAGTGATGCCAAAATGAGAAGATAAGCCAATGAAGTTGTATTTATGTTGCTATTATGTTCTCATTGACACAATGAAAAAAACACAATTGTAATTATGTTATATTCGGTTAAGACATTTTTTTAAAATTCTTAAAGTGTCCGGGTACTGCCGCAAGGGTGTCCGACTTCTACCGCAGGCGTCCGATTACTACGAAGTAGTCGTCGAGTAAATATCCTAAGAATTTGCTGAAACAAGCGCACGAACACAACCACTACCGAGTATAATCACCACAGCAGTTACCTCCCTTCACATATATACGGTGAAAGGAAGTCAATAGGTACTTCGGTTCAACTTGCATGCCGTTAGGAACGTTAAGTGTCCGCGAGTACTGCCCAACCCGCTCTACCTTCGTTGGGTTCCCATCTCATCCATTGCATCTCATCGTCAAACAAGTCAGGGTTAACCTCTTGCAAGTCTAAATCGTCACCAAAAACATCCGTCATCGATCCGAGATGGAATGATGGGTTATCGACAGCCATCTTTTATGGATCGATATGTTTTATGGATCGATATGTGGGCTATCGATGTATACATACGCACGATTTTTTGGTGAAAAGGCTGGGCCTATTTAAAGGGGGTTACTGTAGCAAAAAGGAAACCTCTTTTTAACTGATCAGAATCAAGCATTCAACAATGTCATGGCAGAATGGTCGTTATTCGAGTTTACAACGCACGTATTCTAGACATGCTAGAGACAGTCGCTAAAATATCTCGGCCATTCCCTGGTATAATAAACTTTCGAAAAATGGGGGCCAGACAATCCAGTGAATAACATAAGCATAGGTCCTAAGTGACGTCATGTATGTGACGTCATCGGCACGAGACGAAGTCGTGACGTAAGGGCACGCGAGTTGGTCTTGAGTATGTATGGCGGACGAGGCAGGAAGATGACAAAGTGTGTTGCGATGTGAATTCCAGTGGATTTGACCTTGCGATGAGCACTGACCAGTTAAAAGAACATTACAGAGTCCATGACCCGTGAAGATTCCGGGGTAAAATAGGTCTTCAGCAATCCATGCTTGTCGTAATGGTGACTATGTCATGATGCTAATCTCTGGATTTACAGACCGCCGTCTATATCTATATATATATATAGCTGAGTGCGGCGTTAAACAACAAACCAACCAATTACAGAGTACAGAACAATGAGGATCACAGTAGGAAGAGCTTGTCTGTGAGAAAGTCGGCAAAAAGGTGACTTGGTCATGACAACTGCGCAGTTAAACTTCCAATCTACGGTAGCGTAGTGGGACCACGGTGTTTTCTTTTGTCTATATACGTATCTCCTACGTAGGAGATAGTGATTCTAGGCCATATACTTAATCCTACGTAGGTTGGTTTGTTGTTTAACGCCGCACTCAGCTATATGATGGCGGTCTGTAAATAATCAGTGTGGGACCAGACCACCCGATCCCCGCCTTTTACGACAAGCATAGTCGCCTTTTACGGCAAGCATTGGTTGCTGAAGACCTATTCTACCCCGGATCTTCACGGGTACCTTCACCAAGGCAATAGCTCTGAACTGGTCGGAAAACCGTTTAGGTACTACAGCCAATTTATATCAGCCCCTTAGCTTGTGTGTGTTTGTTTTGTTAAAGTCAGCACTATTCCAGCTATGTGACGGCAGTCTGTAAATAATCGCGTGTGGACCAGACAATCCAGTGATTAATACCATGAGCATCGATCCACGCAATTGGGGTCGTTGACATGCATCAACCAAAGTACAGCCCGATCCCGTTAGTCGCCTTTTACGACAAGCATAGTCACCTTTTACGGCAAGCATGGGTTGCTGAAGACCTATTCCACCCCGGAATCTTCACGCGTACTCAGACGAAAATGAATTTCACCGTGTGCCCACTGCGCTTCCGTACCCATCTACTTACAGGCGACCATGCTTGTAAAAGGCGACTGAGTGGTCAGGGCTCGCTGGCTTGGTTGATGCCTGTGATGCATCGATCCCAATTGCGTGGATCGATTCTTATGATTATAATCACAGAATTGTCTCGTCCATCCAGTGATTGACATAACCGATCCAAACTATTGGGATACGATAACATGCATCAGCGAACCTGATCCCGTGAGTGCTGCGTAAAACAACAAACGTGATATCAATCACTGGATTGTCTGGTCCAGACAAAAATTATTTACACACCGCCTTAAACAACAAAACCAACCAACGAACCTAAAAAATCATTCTGCTTGTTGTCTTGTCATAGCACCAAGTTAATTTTGCTTTAGCAGACACTGCAGTCGTTAACCTGCTGCCAAAAAAGCCTGCTCTTTTACCCCCAAAACACACGCACCAATGTTATTCTTAAGGGAAGGTTATTGCAAACCTGTTCCTTTCGAGGTACAAATTCTTTGGCAAGACGATTATCATATCATAGTGATCCTGCTGAACATACGTCGGATCCCTGACAAGTATTTCGTCCCAAAGTACTCGTATACCATATGGCTTTTTCAGGTAGCAACAACCTCGATCCTTGTTTCTATTAAGATCCGGGCTAGAATATAGCTAGAATAGGTCTTCAGCAACCCATGCTTGTCGTAAAAGGCGACTAACGGGATCGGGTTGTCAGGCTCGCTGACTTGGTTTGATGCACGTCATCACTGGATTGTCTGGTCCACACTCGATTATTTGCAGACCGCCGTCATATATTGCTGAGTATAGCGTAAAACAATAAACTAAAGGTTATATTATTGTGCCACCTTCGTACCCACCCAGATAGCGGACTCATATTTGGCTCCATAACCGAGTGAATTATAATTTGAATTCGTATCAGCAGTATAACACTTGTCAAGCAATTCATAGCAGCCAAGGGATGCAGCTCTGCTCTGTTGATGATACAAGTATTCTAACATGTTTTTTAACTATATAACTATACACAAGACTTATTTATTCATGTACAATATGCACTCGTGTGTTGTTTGCACCCTTAATTAGGGGCAATTAAATTCTGAAAAAATATATCTGTCATATATAAACATTTCAGGCTGTCGGCATAAAGCACAAAATTTACGATCTTTCAACCAATTTTCACCAAAATAATATTCTAATAAGAGCCCCCTATTTCTAATTTTGAGGTATTACGTCGAACACTATTCCTTTCAATATCACAGAACTCACTATTATTTATTCTTACCAGTTCTGACTACAACA